AAAAAAAAAAAAAAATGCTGTGAAGACAACAGATCCTCTGTCACAGGTGCACCACTAAAGGGCTGAATGCAGGGATGCTGAAATGGGCAATCAGTGTGATATTTGGACCTGGACACTTACATTAACCAGTTGAAATGGGAAAAAATGTAAGACCTCTAATCCATTTGAGGATAATGCTTTTTGATTCAATCTAACGTCGCTTTTTTTTTTATCTTCATAGTTCATAACCAGAAGACTGTGTGATGTGCAGAAGATTTTAATAAAACCATAAAACAGGTCACATCCCCAGTGGGGTGGCTGATGATATTTTTTGACCGGGCTTTATTTTCGTTTGTGGCGACAATGTAAATAGAGTATATTGAAGCTGCGTCTTGAGGTACTGACGTGTCATTAACAACCAGTGTTTGAGATGTAATGTTTTCAGACGCGCTGAATAACCCCAGCAGCACGCAGTGTCAGCCACCTTTTCAATGAAGACGCCGACACGTAAACACCCAACAAGCCATATTAAAAAAAGAAACAACAAACGGCGGAGAAGATATGAACGAAGCGGAGGAGACCAAATAATCCGAAGATTAAAGGCTGGCAGCAAAAGGAAAGGAAGTCAAAGGAAATCTGGTCTTTAAAGGCATAAAGCATCAACGTCTTTTCCTAGTTCAAGACAAATTAAAGAGTTTCCCTACTCAGATATATCAACAGACTACAGACCCTTTTTTTAAAATACGAAAAGAATATAAAATCGTGTTTCACTGGCCGATCTTCCTCTAACAGTTTACTGTGATGGCAGTTTTATGTAAGCATGCAACAAGAGGCCGTGGAGCTTAAAAATAAATACTGTCAGCTCTATATGAACTGAAAAGCTTTTCAAACTGCAGGCTGGAGGTTGAAACTATGTAAGACATGCTCTATATGTGCTGACAGCCATAACACTGCGGGGCACAGTGGAGGCAAAGAGGAAAACTCCCATCAGCATTTTCTCCTCCTCCAGCTTTTGTGTTGATTTATTACAGCAGAGATCTGTGGGATTCCCTGACGCCGGGCTATCCTCCAGACCAGCTCTCCTTTCAATAAACCTCATTAATTGGAGACAGAAGGTGCCACATGCGTCTAAAAGTGGAGGCATAGAGGATTTTGGAGATTATGATCATGATGCGTGTTAACCATAGCGCAGCTGCGGCATCAGATATGATTTTTTTTTTCTTTGTGGAGCATTCACAGCTAAA